GTCCTCCAAAGTTTTCAGCAGTGATTTAGTTATATTCACACAACTCATCCAGAGACCAAACAAACAATTAGGTTTAATGATGTTTACAAATTTTTAAAAATTGACACCTGCAAGGTGATGCCTGGAAGCGCCAAGCTCAGGCCTGAAGAGCAGCCAGCAGTGCTGCAAAGCCAGCAGCAGGTGGCAGGAAGTATCTACTGAAGCACAACTGCTAAGAAAGCAGCCAGAGAACTCTCTCAGCTGCTGGAATCCCAACAGAACAGCTACAAAAGCAAACTTCACTTTATTATTTATGCTAGTATCACTTAGGTCACAGCACACAGATTAAAACATGATAAAATACTTTGTAGCCATTTTTCAAGAGGAAACAAGTATCTGCCTTTCAAGCATGGCAAAGTTACCACTATTGGTGAAGTCCCAGATTTCACAGAATTAAAAACTAGCTCAATTAAAGTTGTAAGACTATAGGTGGGGGAACCCAAACTAAGCACCTAGTTTAACAATAACAAAGAAAAAGGCTTGGGAAACCAAGAATCCTCAGTTAGCAACAGCAATTCCTGAATTTGTAGAATCTTACAAAATTAAAATTCAAAGTGTTGGTGAACAGTTACGTGTCTTACTTTCAATGGCTTAAAAAAGTATACCAAATATGAAACAGTATTTTAAAAAGACTGGTTTAAAGCTGTAATTTTATGTGTCTAAAAAAAAGATGCAGCTAGCTGTGCCTCCCCTCATTTGGATGGAATAAGAAGTCAGTAAGAAAATGCCTAACATTACTACATTTATCTACTTGGTAAGTATTGAATACATTCAAGGAAGATTAAATGTATACAGTAATAAAATTACTCACTCTAGCTGTGCATATTAATGCAAGCATGCAATTTTAGATGCCAGCATTGTTAAATTAATCCAATAAGGCATTTACTTATGCATTAAGACACAAGAGAAGTATTTGGAAGAACAACATCCCATGGACACAGTGAATTCTAGTTTTGCGTGAAATAATTCAACAGCTCATTAACAAAAACAGCTACATAAATTGAAGAAACTTCCCCCATATACTGTAATTATTTTTCCCCCTTTATTACAGACAGGTCATTTAGTAAAATTATCTTCTTATTCATACAAACCCCATATTTTACCACAATTTAATGGGAAGTTATCAAGTTCATTTTCCATATATTTATGTGATTCCTCAGGCAAGCATTGCAAGCTTTCATTCCTTTGATCAGAAATTATTCTAAAGAAACATTGAAATATGCAATTGCAAAGCCATCAATTTCCAAGCTCAGAATTCAGTATTTTCAGTAAAAGTAGCCTTGATTTTTGAATAAAAAACCGAAGTAACCCAATGTAACCCAACATCACAGAAAGGGACTACAACTTGAAACACTCAACTGGTTTCCTGATGAGGGAATACAAAGCAAGAAATACCTCAGAAATTTATTCCCAATGTGGATACTAAGGCATCTAGTTTTGTGTTGAACTTTAGTAAGAACTGTTTAAATTCCCAGAATGTAATTTTGAAATTACAGGACAAAATGATTAAACAATATTTAGTTATGTACATTCTGCTCAAAAAATAGACTGTGGGAATTCTTTACACTTCTCTTAGAAATACATAAAAACCAGAACACAGCTTAAAAATCCACTGGCAATTAATAGAGACAAATCGACTTCAAGGAAATATACCTGTGAAAAGTTTTAACCCATTACTGCTTCAGTAACAGCATTTCAATGTCTCTTCAGACTATTTTAAGTAGTTTGTTCTCCTGGCCTCAAGACATCATCCCAGTTTACGCTGGATGTTGGATGATTTCTCATTAGAGTGAGTCTTTGACAGAAAAAGGTTACAAATAACAGGAAATGAGACATTCAGAAAATAATAATACAGGAGAGTCCAGGCAGGTGTACACTGTGTAAGTCATCTAAAAGAGAAGTAACATTGACTGTGCACTCTGATACCACACATTTTATGGAAAACTTTATATAGCTCATATTCATCTTACTTCAAAACACACCACTTACATGACTACTTAAAAACAACACAGATAAAGTAGTTGGTTTGTTACACTGTAAGAACAAATAGTTTAAAGCTCTTTCACACAGACATTTGAATGGGAGTTCACACCAAATGCTGCAAGAAAGCTATGACATTCAGAGAAATGTCCACCCCGTGTTTACCATCAGTATACAGTAATCATCAATTTGGGTGAGGAAAGCACAACAAAAATTCGCTTACATGGCCCCAAAGTGCAAATAAATAATTGGTTAAGAAAAATAGATGCAGTAGTTGTTCCTACAGGTGACTGAATTGCACATAATGTAGAAATTGTTTCTTTTTGGTTGTGTTTTATTTTGTCAAACAAAATGAAGAAACTACAACTTCTAATCCCACAGAAGTCTGCTCAGACCACACAGCCTTTCTGAGGTTTCTTTCCTCATTAGAGAAGGAACAGTTCCCTGGTTTGACTCAAATGTTTGTGGAGGCACAGATTCATCCATTTTTGCATTGTGCACATCCATTTTGAGAATCTTTAGTGTTCTGCTTCTCCTCTCTCCACTCAAACCAATTTAGCTGGGAAATAATTCAGAAGCTACTTTAAAGCTGTTTTTAAGTTACTTGATGACAAAAAAAACCCACAACAGACTATTGTAATAACATGAGCATTCAGGCAAACACACTGCAAGTTTCTTCAGTTCATTACAGAGAGACCAAACTAGGGCTGCACAGAAAGTCAGTATTTATGAACCAGGGCATTAAATAAAGAGATCCCAGCCACAATAGGTTTTCCAGGGATGAGAACTGAACTTTAGCTAGTATTCTGTATTCTGTCTGAAAAACATGTATGCCAGTCACCAAATCTCTCTCAGAATTCTGAACACCATCAGAACAGACGAAAAATCTGATTGTGATGCCTACGTTCTCCTATTTACATAAATATATATATAAATTAACTTAGATTATAGTAGTATCAAATTGCATAGCATTACAAAAGAAGGCAACTTGAATGGCTGAAATGAAAAAAACCTGAATGTTACCAATGCTATTATTAACATTTTGGAATTTATCATACCATAGACTGTTGCTAGTAACAGCTGTAGCCCAGTTTAAGCAAAGTCTGCCTTAATTCCAGAAAATGCAGAAATTATTAACTTGGCCAGACTGTTGCATGCTCTGCTTTCACGTCCTCCTAGCAGGTTTTGCTGTTAACTGCTTCTCTCTTTCAAGTTCCTTCTCACGTTGCTGCTCTCGCTCCAGTTCTTCCTTCTGTCTCTTTTGTTGCAGCCTAAGTGCTCTTTTCTGAACAGAAAAGACAAGCAATTACTGTAAATTTTGCAGCTGTATTTAAGTTGGAGCTACAAACAAAATTGCTCACATTAGCTTAACTTTCTGTTCTCCAATCCACCCTGCTCATGTCTGAGCATTGCATAAACTGTTCTCTTTTTCCCTCTCCCTCCTACTTCCATCTTACTGGTCAGAAGCAGCAAGTCTGTCACTGACACAGGTTAAATACAAACTGGATTCCCTTCCATGTCTCTGGAAGTTATCCCTTGTGTGTACCAGACAAGGTGAGTACTGTGCAGTTTATTTCCTCAAAGAAGAAATCCTTTTGCTGAACATACTGAAGGACTGATCTTGCCAGAATGTAACAAGAGACTGCCTGTATAGCACGAAGTTAGTGAACTTATGCTACTTAATATTACATTGGAGAAATTATTGCATTTATGCCAATCTATTTTTAATTTTAAAAGCATAGAAATCGAAACAACAAAGAACTAGTTGGACTAGAGTGGATTAAGCAACAGAAGATAGTGTGATTCTTACACTTAAACATGATGATGACACTTGAGATTTACTAGTAGCTCAAGTGTGCAAGTTGCTTGAGCACAGGCAGGAGGGAGCAATTGAAAGTTTAAAAACATCCATGGTTTGGTGCTATTGAAAACACCCTTTTAAGAAAATGACTGAAGACTCTATTTTAATCAGAATTTTCAGCATCCATCCAAAATAAAGTTAGATATTTAGTTATGTATCCTTGACTTCTATGTTGGGAAGTAAAACATTTAGCCCACTCACTTTTAACTTTGATGTCTTCTCATGGAGCATCATCATTTCGTTTCTAATATTCACTAACTTGTTGTGATAGAGCTTAGCTTCTGAAAACTGAAAAAACATAAGAGCTGAAGCAGCAACTGTCAAGTTGGAACAGTTTTATACAGCTACACAGTGGGAGAGCAATCAAAGCCAATGATTACCAACACAGTCTGATAATTAAACACGCTCAGGCTTTACCTATGAAGTTTATAGGTTTCATGCAGTAATACAGAAATCCACCATATCTCAACAGGTTCACTCAGTTATCTACTGAACCAAGATTTGTTAAACAGAATAAAAATACCACCATTTTGTGCACCATGTATTAGTACTTCATGCACTGCTAACCTGGAGAGGTGCACAGAGCTTGTGCTGGAGCCTCAGGCCTACCAAAAAACAGGACCCATTTGCTTCAGCAAGTGGTTTTGAAAAACTTAGTACCACTGGCTGACTGAGCCTTCCCTTTCTTCCCAGTGCCCTTCCTATTTAAGGAAAAAATGCTAGTTCTGCATCCTCTCCAGCAAGAATTTGTCCCATTTGTCCAGAATATCTGAAATGGTTGGTTCTCTTCCTGTAGACCTTTTGAAATTTCTTGTTCTAATGTTTCTAGTAACACCACTTGGTTCTGTCTGAAAGAAAAAAGATACATAAAACCAAAGTAAAGCAGCACATGCGCTTTTCAACAAGCTCTTGCTTTTGATCATAACATCAGTACCACTAATAGTATCAGATTCTGCTTATGCACTGCTAAGTGATTTCAATAAAGTTACAAGTAAGTGGTTTTGGAAAAATCCCAGCTGAGTACACACAAAATCAGCTGGCATCATCAGGCATTAAAAGTTATCAGGGGGAATATCAGAAAACCCTGAACAGGCACCTTGAAGAATGCAGTAAGTAAACACTGAATAAAGGGAAAAACAATTAGCTCTTGAGTTTCCACTTGGCTGCCTCCACATCATGTGCAGGACCGTTATTTCTGCACACAACTTGTGTGGGTTTCTGGTGCTTATTAAGAATCTTCCATCTCACACAGATCAGCTAAAGTCTTCCCAGACACAGGCTGTCCTTGGCAGCAGCATAACCACATCAAGCATCATGAAACCCAAATCAGTGCACCCGGCATAACCACATCATGCATCATGAAACCCAGAGCAGAGCACCCTGCAAAACCCAAAATGGCTCTGTGTAAAGCCCTTTCCAGCATATTTTCATTTCTGGCAGATCCAATCTGCATTTGATAAAGACTATTCTTAGTTGTCAGTGAGGTGCCAATGTACAGAGAATTCTTACCTGTTTAGCTCCTTAATTATATTTTTAAGTGTAACTTCTACACAGTTTAGAATGCACTACAAGCTGCCCTGAACCTGAACTGTGTCTCTGCAAACAAAACAAATCCAGCTTTCAGCAGACATTCCACTACAAAAGTAAGTATTTAAAAAAATATACATGTCTTCTGCTATATCTGGCTTAGGGCATTTTATTGTACTAGCATTATACATCCTTCAGACAAAGTTCTGATAGGCTACACTGCAGCTTATACACACCCCAGTATTCCTGCAAATCACTTAGCTATTCAGGGTGCAATAGTCAGAACACAGAAATGCTAAAATAAACTATATTCCAGTTAAGGATAGCTGGAACATTATACTGAAAAGAGGTGGCAAACAAAGTGTAGAAGTTGGCTTTAAAAACTTGCTTACGTAAGTTCCTGTAGTGCTGCTTTTGATCGCTGAAGATCAGGCAGATAATGAGAAACCAGTCCTTCAGTTAGCTGCTCCACGGCTTTTTCATCTATTAAAGGCAGGTCTTCTACTACTCCTTCATCTGGAGATGCATCACTAGGACCTACACCAGCAAACAGCAAGGTTGTATGTCATGGATCAGCATGCACTTCAAGTTCCTCCTAGAGCAACTATATTTTCCTGTTTAAAAGTTAAAAGCACAGCAACACTGAACTCACAACTACTTGCACTTCATCAACTCATCAGTGCTTCCTTTATTTCATCCCTCTCTTTACCCCTTTCTTATTCCCAGTTCTGTATTATGAGCTTCCTGGTGAACAGTTCTATCTGAACAACAGTAGAATAGAATGAGGGAAGCAGAATATTCAAAAGACATGTAATAAAAACCAAATTCAAGTACTGCAGTCTACTGAGGAAAGCAAGGGGCAATGTGAGCTGCTGCAGCTGTGCAGCAGGAACACCTGGACATGAACCCCCCTCCACCCGGCGCTTTCAACGGCAGAGAACGAACCCAGGTCTTATCCTGCCGCTCCAAACACACAACAGCACCGAAAGCTGAACTGCAGTGCGCAGTGGCTGGTTAACAGTTACTGTGATTCTGCCTGGGCAAGCTACAATGTTTTATTGCCTGCAGAGCTCTCGGGAAATAAACACTTCATAACCCGCACCGCGAGGGAGAAAACCCGGACAGGCAGGCGTTTCGCTCCCAGGGAGCCCAGCCCGGCCGGTCTCAGGGTCTCAGGGCGCTCCCAGGGGTTCCCTGCCCCGGCCGGGCCGGGCCGAGCCGCCCAGCCCGCCCCACGGGCCTCCCTGCACCTCCCGGCACGTACCCAGCGAGGGAACGGGGCTGTTCGCGGCCGCCTCCTGCTCCCCGGACGGGTCCGCCCCGCTCATGGCGGCTGCTCCGCGGGGCAGGGCTGCGGGGCTGCGGCGGGAGCGCGGGGCCGGGCTG